GCCGACGGGGCCGCCGGCGCGAGTGTGCGTGGCAGCGCCCGTGGCCCGCGCGCCGTCGCGGGCTGGGCCTGGCGCGCGGGCGCCGGCGCCGCGCCGCCCGCCGATGGGGGTGGCGCCGGGCTCTCCAGCTCCAGTATGAGCGCGGGGCCGGCGCCGCTGCCTTTGCTGAAGCGCTTGAGCTCGAACCCCACGAACTGCGCCAGGTCAGCGCCGCGCACCCAGAGGCCGCCCCTCGCCGTGCCCTTGCACTCGAGAGTCGCGCGCGCCGGCGCGCCCTGCGGGCGCCCGCCGACCGTCGCGCTGACCTCCAGCGGCGCCGGCAGCGCCGCGCCGGGCCAGAAGGCGGCGGCCATCTTCAGGGATACGGGGAAGACGCGGCGCTGCTGGGGCGTGATGAGGGTGGCGCCCTTCCTTACGGCGCCCTTGGAGTCCATCCCGGCCTGCAGTCGGGCCGCGGCAGAGGGCGGGGCAGGCGGGTTGCTCGTGGCTGGGGGCGGGGCCGCGCAAAGGGCGGGAGGAGGGCCGCAGTGCAGGGCAGCTGCGCGCTCTGAACGTGTGAGTGGGCCGGGCCCCAAAGTTGCCGCGCCGCGCGCAACGTGCTAGCAGCAGAAGTTGGAGCTGCTGCTGCTCCTGGCAGCAGCAGCAGCAGCAGCAGCAGCTGCAGGGTACTATAGATCGTGTGCCGTGCGCGTATAAGGGGGCGCCGGGGCGCGGCCGCTCACCGGCCAGTGTGCGCAGGGCGCGGGCGCCGCGCCGCTCCAAAGGCTGGTGGTTGTGGTCGCCGCGTGCCCGGCTGCGACGGGCGGCGGGCCCGCCGCCCGCCGCCGCCCGGGCCGCCGCCACTGCCCATCCTTGCCGTCCAGTTTGTCCCACTCCTCCTCCTCCTTCACTCCCTCCTCATCCTGCTCATCCTCGTCATCATCCTCGTCAGCATCCTCGTCAGCATCCTCGTCAGCATCTCCAATTTCACGCATCTGCTTCGCACCCGCCTTCGCCTTGGTCTGGGCATCTGCACTGACCCCCCGGCAATCCCCCTCGCCCGCGCACACCGCAGCTGCCCCTTGCGCCGCCACTGCCGCGCCGCCGGCCGCGGCGCCCGCGGGCGGGTCGATGCCATGCCACACGAACGCCCCCGCCGCCTCGACGCCCCACGCTACCGTCTGCGCCCGGCGCGCAATCAGCGCTCGCGCGGAGACCACGGCCCCCAACCCCTGCAACCCGCCGCCTCCGGTGGCGCGGTAGAAGAACTGGCAGTGCACCCTCTCAAACTCACGGCCGTCGAGCATGAATGTGACCTGTATGTGCTGACGCACGCTGTCCAGCCCTAGGAAGCCGGGCAGCAGCTGCTTGATGGCTGCCTTGGGCATGGGAATCAGGCCGTTGGAGTAGAGCTTGAGAGGTGTGGGCTCCTCCTGAGGACGGGGTGTCGAAGGGGAGGGGTGTAGGGGGGGGTAGGGGTGATGGGGCCGTGGGGCCGTGCTTGAGGGGGCACCGACATGTGGATGTAGGCGGGGGGCGCTCGTTTGTGCACTAGAGGACGGCGGCGCGGGCTGCATTGCATTGCTGCGGCGCGGCACTCGCCCAGGGCTTAGATTGGGGTTGGGACGCAGGCTCTGAATGAACATGGCATGCAAGCTCTGCTCGACGCACGAGGGCAGCTTCGCATGCCACCCCATCCCCCCAGAATGGCCCCTAATGACTCACCAAACGAAACAACCCCGGCTGCACTGCCCCTGTTGCGCGTGCGGTCGCCACCTCTGTGGCGCCGCGGCCCTTGGGGCCTGGCTGCGCGGCCTGCCCTGCAGCGCTGCCCATAGCACGCTCCTGCTGGCTGCTGCCCAACCCTATCACCTGCTGCTGCTGCTGACGCTGCTCATGCTGCTGCCGGCGCCGCTGCCGCTGCCGCTGCTGCTGCTGCTGCTCAACATGCTGCTGCCGCTGCTCCTGCTTGCTCGTCCGCTGCCATTCCGTTCGCACCTGCTTGCGTGCCTCAAGTTCTGCTTCCCTGCCCTCAGCCTCAGTCTTATGCCGCTTGTACCTGCAAGCATCCTGGTCCCCCACACTACTCTGAATTGCTCCCGCCGGAGCGTCTGCGTCTGCTTGCCGCTGCCGCACCTGGCTGTTCTGTGGGGCTCGCCCCGGAGATTGTCTGGCCTGTTCCTGCAAACGGCGCCCGTCCGATCGCAACGCCGACCCTGAGGGCGACTCCTGCTCGTTCTTCACTGCAACAGCCAAAGGCTGCTGCTGATCCTGCTGCTGCTGTTGCTGCGCATCCTGATCCTGCAGCTGCTGCTGCCAATCCTGATCCTGCAGCTGCTGCCGCCAATCCTGCAGCTGCTGCTGCTGCTGCTGCTGCTGCTGCTGCTCCTGCTGCTGTTCTTGCTGCTCCTCCTCCTGCTGCTCCTGCTGCCTTTGCTGCTGCTGCTGCTGCTGCTTTTGCTGCTGCTGCTGCTGTTCCTGCTGCTGCTGCTGCTGCTGCTGCTGCTGCTGCTGCTGCTGCAGATGCTGCCGCCGCTGCTCCCCCGCCTGCAGCTCATGCCCCAGCTGCTGGACCAGCTGATGCACTCGCTGATGCACGCCAGGCTCGGGCCCGGCGTGCCCCTGGCCGCCGCTGAGTTCCTGGCGGGTCAGATCACTGCCCCTCGCGCCCAGCCCTCGCCCGCCCTGCTCCTGCTGCTGCGGCGGCTGCTGCTTCTCTTCCTGCTGCTGCTGCTGCTGCTGCTGCTGCTGCTGCTGCTGCTGCTGCTGCTGCTGCTGCTGCTGCTGCTGCTGTTGCTGTTGCTGCTGGATGGCGCACTCAGGCTCGTCCTTTAAAGCAGGGGCCACGCCGCCAGGCCGGACGGCTGAGCCCCTGATCGGCGCGGAGGCAGCGGCAGGAGCGGTGGCGGAAGCGCCGGCTGTCGCCACGGGCGCCTCCACCTCGTCGTCAGAAGACAGCAAGCAGATGGTTTCTGCACCTGTGATGCGGCCGAGGCTGTCCTCAGAGCCAGACGTGCTCGCGCCGTGGCTGCTGTCATCGCCGCTTGTTGAGTCGACGACGGTGCGGTGTCGCGGACGCAGCCGCGGCTTTCGGTGCGGCGTCGGCCCGGGTGATGCCGCCCTTGCAAGCATCGCGAACCTCTTCATATTAAAGTTATTATCAAGCTGAAGAACGTGAATCGTTGGTACGCACTAAATGAATGGATCCAATCAGCTATATATAGATCGCGAGATCGTTGGCGGGTTGATGGAGTACCGTACAGCACCGACCATGTGACATCATATTACGAGAGGTGGTCATCAAAGATGTTCCCAACAGATGTTGATCCGCACTGTATGCCAGCAGCTGCCGTACGCTGCAAGGCCGGCAAGCCGCTGCCTGGCAGCTGCTGGCCAAAGGGCCGGAGACTCGTGCCACGCGAGTGCTGCTCGCTGCGTCGCGCGCGCGCAAGCAAACTCACCCTCAGAAGCATCCAGGTTATTAATATGAAGGCAGCCGTCTCGCTGTGGGCCTAAGCCCCAGGAGCGTCCACTGTTCCGGTCACACGTCAGACTCACAGCCCGGGCCGTCTCCACCCACGCCGCGCAGCCCTTGCTACGGCGGACGCCAGCAATCCCATCACTGTGACCGTGCGTACCATGCGCTTTCGCGCAAAAACGAGGTTTCATGCCACTTCATTGCCGTATGCACGGGCATGCAAACGCCGTTAGGGGTGTCTGCCGGGTCAGCGTTGACCCAGCGTGCATCGCCCCCTGCTTTACCCTTTAACTCTCATTTGTGTGTCAACACCCCCCATTACTCGGAGGGAGCGTCCGCGTTATCGTTGCACCGTCAGGCAAATCATTGTAGATTTTTCAAAGGTCCAGCAACTCCTTGACCAGCAGCGGCCGCTTGACCGCATTGGTATAGCCCTCATTGAATTTGAACAACACAACATGAGACCCCGGCCCCGCCACCGCCGCCGCCGCCGCCGCCGCCGCCTTGCCTGCGCCACCCCCGCCCCCGGCCACCGTCGCCGCTGCGTCTACGCCGCCGTCGCCGCCCGTGGCGGCGGCGCGCGCCTTGGCGCCCCTGGTGATGGCGGCGACGGCCTTGGAGCGAGTGGCGTCGGCCTTGCGTCGCTTCATGTCGTCCAGCCAGCAGCCCTTCCGCTTGGGCTCTGGGTGCAGGGAATGTGGCAGTGTGTTCGTGTGTGTGAAAGGTGCGCGTATGTTGTGTGAATCTAGGCAAGTGCGAGAGTGTGTGTAAGTGCGCTATGGGTGCAGCGTACCGCAAAAACAATGCCCGCAAAGATTGGACATCGGGGTTGGCAGCGGGACCAGCCCCGACAGCCGCGGCAGGAACAGCAGCAGGGGCTACAGCAACTGCAGCAGCAGCAGTAAAAGAGGCAGCAGCAAGGAAAGCAGCACCAGCTGAAGGAGCATCACTGGGTTGGACATTAGCACACACCCTAGACGCATGCCATAAACCGGCCCCAGACAAGCGCGGGGTCGGTGACGTCACCAACAGCGGCCTGGCACGCACCTTTCGGCGGCGGCATCCCACCCTTGGAGGTGTCGCGGGCCCTGGCCCCGGCCGGGCCAGCAGCCGGCCGCGCGCCGGCCGCGTCCGCGGCTGCGCCTGCCTGAGCGGCCTTCGGCTCGGGGCCGGCGCCCTCCTGCAGGCGCGCCTGCGAGGCGGCGGCGGGGAAGGGGTCGGGGCGGGTGGCGGCGAGCTTTGACAGAGGGGTGTTTGGCTGACAGAGGGGTGATGCAGAAAAGTTCAATGCGTGCTGCCCTCTCACAGTAGTGCCCTGCTAGGCTCCAGCCAGCCTTCCCTACCAGCCATCCCCGCACGTGTGTAGCTGCTGCCGCCCCCCCCTTGCGCCCTCCCCCCCGTCGAAGCAAACATGCCTGCACGGAAACACCCGCTCCCCTTGGCTTGCCCCTTCCATGCACGGCCAGAACCGTTGCTAAAGGATTCTGCTGCAGCATTAACGCAGCGCCGCACCGCCGCGCTGCACCATCAGCTGCCCCCATAATTCGCCCGCACCGCGGCAGTTGGCCCGGCATCCAGCCACCACCTTGGCCGGGCACCTGCACCTGCCCGATTCTTATCCCCCAAAACGCCACTGCCCCCGCACACACACACACACACACACACACACACACACACACACACACATGGTGGACCCCGCCCCGACCCACCTGCTCCGACCTCCGCAGCGCCGCCTCCTGCACGCCCCGCGCCACCAGCTGCCGCACCACCAGGGGCACCTCCCCCCGCCCCAGGGGGTCGGCCAGCCCGCTGTACGCATCAAGCAGGTCGAGCGGCGGCGACAGCGGCGCCGGCCGCGGCGGCGGCAGCAGGGCGTGCTGCCCCGAAGCGCCCGCGCCCGCGG